CGGGGCTGCCTTGTTAGAGTAGGTGACCAACAAGCCAACATGTGGCTGTGGTCTTTCGTATTTATTATTGTAATAAACGAACCTTTATTCGTATTAATGATAAAACACCTTGGCATTCTATATCTTTGTCCCTTTGTCACAAGCATAGATATAGTCCTTACAGTTATTACAAGTACTAGTAATTGATCTTTAGGATCGTGAGATATTTACTTAAGTATTATAACTGTTAAACGTGTTCCTAGTCGAAGGGTTACGCCACTAATGAGGATATCGGCCTTTCCCATTAAGACTAGCACTTAGTGTATGTGTACTGCATCCTATCAGTAAACGGTATTGTGATATCGGCATGCATAAGTGGGTGCTCTTAAGTTGACGAGTTCACTGAACTCCCTCACCCTAGAAATCTCTAAGTGGTTCCCAATAATCGAGTAGAGATATCTATGGTATAGTTGTACACCATTAGTCCTTATGACCTAGACATCACCGTGACTTCACTAGAGGACCAGCTGTATCGTGACCTGTCCCTGAGTTCCACCGAGGACCATCCCAAGGGCCAGTGTTCGTGCAGTCCGAAATCTAGTGGGAGGTCTGTGCATTGTAGTCGGGGATTCGATCGCTAGAATAGTCTTGGATGTCCTGTGTGTTCTGAAAGTTTGTAATCATTCTAAGTCTCTGGCCAGAGCTGACTAAGTGATGATTAGAGAATTCGATTCTCTAAGTCATGCACGTGACGATTACAACACTTGGAACGATCGCACCGTCATCGAACATATAAAGAGGTCTCGATGAACCAATGCCTCTAGTTCGATCGGGACATATGTATCGAAGGGACCGTACTGTACGTTAACTATATCTGAAGGTTCTTGCAGGCACTTCATTTGTATCTAGGGAATCATGACGCGTAGTTGCTAGACGCCAATCTTGATTCGTTGGGTGATTAAGGTGAAACGAGCTTCATCTTAATCGTAACTCTAAGGGACGAGTTTTGACCACAAAGGGTTGTGGGCCCACGGCTAGCTTACACCTGAACCATCGAGGGTCACACTGCTCGTGCACATGAGATCTTTGAATAAACGGTCAGAGATAAAATAGTTTATCTTTGCATGATTGGAAGTCAATACGATTGGGTCCAACATTCGTAATTTGGAATTACGAATGAGAATAAGAAAAGGAAAAGAATAGTCGAACATTGTAGTGGACTTTCTAAATCGGGAAGTTTCCAAATTTAGTAAGTGCACTGAACTAGGGTTTCCACTTTTGGAAAGTTGGAAATTGAGAGTTGGCACTCGTAATGACGAGGACTTTATAATGATTTCGAAAATATAATCATGGAAATTTTTCGGTCATTGAATTGAGAGAAACGAGCAAGTAAAAGTACTAGCGAACTTAAGCTGTTGGGCCCGGTCCAACTTAAGCCCGCTAGGGTTTTATGCAAGGCACTATAAATACAAGATTTATAGGTCTTGCATACTAAGAGAACCCTAACCCTAACCCTAGCCGTTACTCTCTCTCTCTCGGCCACTCTCCCCGCGGCCACCACCGCGCCGCCACCGCCGGATCGTCGCCGGAATCGGCCATCAATTGGCCGATCCCTTTCGGTACTCTTTTCTTCTTTCTTTTTCTTCCGTTATTTCTAACTATTACGTGTCTAGTGCCACGTGTTTAGTAGATCGAAGTATACGAGGTGAAATCCGAGAGGAGGAAGATCGAAGATCGAAGAATCGAGGAGCAGCACACGAGCCGAGGCCGCACGCAACCCCACGCGCCGCCCCGAAGACCGCGCGTGAGATTCACGCGCCGCCGTGGCCCGTCTCGCCGCTCCACCGCTGCTGCCCCGGATTGTACGGATTGGTTTCCGTAGCAATATCGACTTGCTTAGCGCTCCTACCTCACGCTTCAAGAGGTAAACACACGAATTCAATGTTCTTGATTCGTTTACGTTTAAACAATATATTCATGTTCGTTCTCGTATGATTTTGTGTGGTTACGTGAAATCGTTTTAATTGTTGCGAGCATGTTATTTGGTTTAAACGCGAGCATGTTAATTGATTTAAATTCGGTTAAATAAATTAGCATGTATGTTGTTTTTAATTTCGCTGGAAGCGCAAAGGTACGCGATTAATTGTTTTAATTATCGGGCATGTGTTTATGTGTTTTAAATTTGTTTAAATCGCATAAAATTTTTGTTTTCCGCTGCGTACACGTGCCCGTTACCCAACATGCCTTGCCCAAATTAGTCGCTCCCAACATTTTCGAAGCAATTCTAGAAATCTGACCAAACGGCTCGACAACCACTGTGCCAAATTCAATTTCCTACGTCCTCGTATTTTTTATTATTTTTTTCGGGTCTGAAAATTTTCGGACTTTCGGCACTGGCCCAGCCGGTGTGCTGGGCTGCCTTGCCCAACCTAATCGCTCCCGACGTTTTCGGAGCAATTCTCGAAATCTGACCCAACGGCCTTGACAACCACTGTGTCAAATTCAATTTCCTACGTCCTCG